CATTCAGTAAATTTTGGATATAATGTTGCCATCTATCTAATACTGTATTATTTCTATGTCACCTGTCTTTGTCGTCATTGATTGTACTCGTTTCTCCCGTCTTATTTCTCCTCCTTTTTATTACTGAATAGGTTATGTCCTTGTGTGTGAAATTTGAAGTTGTGACTGCATTGCCTACAAATTTTGGTATCCCCTGGTATGTGACAATGTGTAGTCTGGTAGAGCATTACCAGTGTTTTGGAGGAACCTGCTTGCTTCATCTTCAATTGAGGAGTAAGAGGTGGAAGATGGGAACTGCAGTTCCTTCCAAACATGCCAAACAGCATGATGTCACACCCCAGAATACAATAATCTTCAGTTTTTTGTCCATCTTACAGCTTTTTTTTGTGTCACGTTTTTCCATGTCTCCTTTTTGTTCAAATCTAATCATTTTTAATGCTACTTTATTTGTCTTTCTCCCCTCCCCCCCCAAATCTTTACCATTTCCATCAGTTCTTTGTTTAATCTTGTTTTTCCATGCATCTTTTTTTTTCTTTGCCTTTCTGCAGTTCTGTGAGTCCATCATGGCATGTCTTTGTAACTTACCCTTGATGATGTTATCCCACATGCTTCTCCTGCAGTTACTAGTATATTTTGGGCCGCGCCATAGCTCAAGCGGTTAGTTGCTGGCTTCCCACCGCGGCAGCCTGGGTTCGATCCTGGGTCTGGTCAAGTGTGATTTGTGGTGGACAAAGTGGCACTGGTTCAGGTTTTCTCCGAGTATTTCGGTTTCCCCTGCCAATCTTCATTCCACCAATTGCTCCACAATCACCATCACCTATCATCTGGGGCTGGTACAATAGGCCAGAAGTGACCACAGTACAAGGGACTTAGCCCCACCCCACTAGAAATAAAAAAAATACTAGTATATTTTTAAGCAGCTTCAGTTCTTCCAGTGACCTGATTATGTTCTTTAGTACTTTTTCTTTTATCTTGTTTTGGAAGTCTCCTCTGTTTTTTTTTAAGTATTTTAACCTTTGATGTTTTATTATCACTGTCTTAATTACTTTAATAATTTTAAAGTCTGCTACTAGAAGTCTGAGTACTGTTGGAATTAACGCTAGTATCACCTTAATATAAATGTCTTGATTATGTAATTAATTACATTCTCCTGTTTTCCATTCGAACTGTATATTGTTACTTTATGGCATGCTTGTTTCAAATGATCCCTTACCTGCTTCTAACCTACATGGTCTAGAAGATCTCTTCTTTCTGTTTCCCTCAGCAAAATGCCCCATGGACCTTTACATGCCCTGTCCTGTCACTTCCTACTTGAGTGTTGAACCCCTCTATAAGTACAGTTTTAGCCTTCTTGCCACTTTTGATAAGCTCACATTAAACTCGTCACAGCTTGGTTGTGGTGTGTATGAGCAGCATCTCTCAAGTTATCCTATAATGGAAACTCAATTTAGCATTCTACTGTTTATGTATTGTAGATCCACTGTTTTATTGGCAAGCTGCTTGGAGGCTTTTACTGTGTTCTTTTTCCTTCCTCATCACTCCACCAAATTTTATCTAGTATTTTATAGCCTTTATTTTTTCATTTTGTTTTGCCCAAACTCAATCTTTCTTTTTCCATAAATTTAGTTATATATTTGTTCTTCCTATCTTATTTAATATAATTATATCTTTTGTTCCAGTTCTTAAATCTTTTACATGTTTAGGTCTTCTGTGTTATATCATCTGAGATTTCCTGAGGCTAGTTGAAGCAGTTTTAAAATCCACTCTCAGCTTGGTAGGCCTATAATATCTTTACTAAACCCTTTTAGGTGTTCATTTTAGGGTTGAGGCCTTCTGAGCCATCTTGAAGGTAACAGAGACTAGATACCTGCTGTACTTCTCCCTGACAAGCTTTCCGCTTCTTAAACATCCCTCTGCTGCGGTGTAGACATGGGTCAGGCTTCGTAAGGGAAGAGGAGATTCATATGTTACATTTTGCACAATCTTTGCATGAAACACAGCAAAGAAAGCACTGGTTTAACAGTGTATCCAGTGAACTACACAACACTGAAAACATCAAGTGTCCTACTAGTACCTTATCAAATAGCCCTTCTACTTAAGTTAGAACATATTTTATGTGTCATGTATAAATGAAGTGCACTCTTTTAATTCCAAGAATGCATTTTACCATTCCTATTTGCTAGTGAAGAAGAATTTATGTCTTTCCTAAGTTGCTTGTTCAAAATAAATGTAGTGTGTTTACCAGCAGATGTTACAATATGGCATTTTTGCTCTGTTACCTACAGCATACAAAGCCCAGATTCACCAGAAGAAAACCAGTTGCAAATGTGAGGACACAATGTTTAAGTAATGCTAGAGATGTGACTGTCTCTAAGCAGGGTAAAGTAGATAAGCACAAGGCACCAGAGGACCCACTTCTTTTGGAAGTAAAGATCCGCAATTGCTTGTCACCCAGTTGCGTCTATGTGTCACTTCTTGCTCGAGAAGAAAAGATGAATAAGTAAGTAGCCTTAACATAAGAGGCCTGTTTTCTGGTACATTGAACCCTTCAACTCTTCCATTTATAGCTCAGCTGTATGATTTTTTTTAATATAAATAACTAACTCCGTGGAATAGGCCGTGCCATAGCTCAAGCGGTTAGTCACTGGCTTCCCACTGTGGTGGTCCGGTTTCAATTGCAGGTCTGGTCAAGTGGGATTTGTGGTGGACAAAGTGGCACTGGGGCATGTTTTCTCCGAGTACTTCGGTTTCCCCTGCCACTCTTCATTCCACCAAATTCTCCATCATCATAATCACCTGTGGCAGGCTACAATAGGCCAATCCCTGGCTGCTGTGCCGAGTGGACCCAGTTGGACTCCACCCCCACTAAGCAAATTTTATAACTTTGTAGTCATTGTTATTATGGCTTCTGTAAATGAATCAAGTGTTGACCGTTACATCTTTTTCAGTATGTTTATCAGAGATGCTTTGTAACAATTGTCAATAGGCTGATCTTCAGGATTGAATGCAATGTGGATAATGAGTACAGTATTTTCAGATTTTTTAATTGTCCATTTTCTAATCACCTACACCCTGTCTCACCTCTTATTACCATGGATAACTGGGATTTCACTGTATAAATTATTTGCATTAAAAATGCATCTTTGTTGTCTCTGTGCACTTTGGCTAGTGCACGTACACGTTGATGTGGAGTGTGGGTGAGGAAGTTCACATTTAAGGATACTGTTGTTAGAGAACATTTTGTTATAGTACCTTGAAGTGATAAAAATTAAGATTATCATCCCTGTCATGTATTTATTTCCTCTCCCCCTCCTCAAGATAACCACAGTTGAATTTGTAAAACATTTTGCTGTACAGGAGACAACCACTTAAAAGATGATGATATGAGTGATTGAATGTTAGCACATTTGCCCTGGTTATCTTGAACTACTTGTACATCATGGGATCAAATATGATACTAAGCATAAAATTAAACTTAAATTTTATTGTAGGTGTTTCTGTATTTTAATATTGTCACATGAGTGAGTGTTGGGTTGGAATGGAGAATGGATTTATTGATCACTTAAATGCTCACAACTTGTGACCACAAGTAATTATAGTGCCATCAAAAATCTCCACTAGTCGTTTCCTGGTAACAGCTTTTAACACTGGAGATTCTTCAGCTTACACACTCATGCCATTGCCAGCTGGCTGCTGTCTCATAACTGCACAAGAGCTGTTTTTTAATTCGCTTAGTGGAGGTTGTAGTCCAACTAGGTCCACTCGGCACGGTGGCCACTGATTGGCCTATTGTAGCCTGCCCCAGGTGATTATGATGTTGGAGAATTTGGTGGAATGAAGATTGGCAAGGGAAACCAAAGTACTCTGTGAACACTCGCCCCAGCGCCACTTTGTCCACTACAGATCTCACTTGACTATACCCGGGATCAAACCCGGGCTGCCGCAGTGGGAAGCCAGCAACTAACCCATTGAGCTATGGCGCGGCCTTAATAACTGCACAAACTAAGTCTTCTCTTAACAGACCACCTTACAAGTGACTAATGCTCAGCTGGTGTCCTCGTTATGTAACCCCTTGGCACGGACCACATAGATGACACCATTTCCAGCGGTTCCTCTATTATGCATGGACTCATTGCTATGGGAAACTGTTTCACAGTCGCTACCTAGTGATGGGTCTACACTCTGCATTGCTCCTTCCTTTAGGCTATTCATCCCAAATAGCCAACCAGAATGCCACCATTTCTTCTTTTCTGAGGGCTGTGATTATGACATCTCTGATCAGTCTCACCTCCCTTCCCCATGGCTTCGTTCTCAACAGAGATTACTCTCCAACCGCTCCCTCTGCTCCCTCCTAAAGGCTGCTTGCTCTCAGTGGTTCCCTCATGAGCTGCCAGGTATGTCACCATATACCTTCTGTTGGTGAGGGAAGAAGTTCCAAAAGTGATGAGTGCTCCTACATCCATGGGTCTTCAGCTATTGTTAGTGGTCTCGTCTTTCGTTTTGGAGGGGGGCAACCCCCCTCCCCCACCATGTCCAATCACTCATTTTCCACAAGCCATAGGAAATCCTGACTATTTGCTTTGCAGCCTCAAATTTGTGAGTTTGTCCATGGGCCTCATATAATGTCTCCTTGCTTCCCAGATGTAGCTCCTTTCTATGATCCTTTATCCTGTTGTTGCATTGTGTATTGTGTATTCACACATGAAAGTAGGAAGAATACTCCGATAGAAGAAGATAGGTGTGACTTGTGTATTGAGATACAACATAAGAATGACAAATCCTGAACAGTTTTAATATTTAAAATTTATCATTATATATGACAAATATATATTTTAGTCATTTTGGTATAAAGACAACAGGGCATGCAATGAAGTAGTTCAACATACATAGAAAAGCACCTGAAGATGGCACTCTAGTGCTGAAACACGTAGTGCAAGAGAGAAGAGTGAGGTGAATAAATGTATGCACTGTAAGATGGTCAGAATAAATCATGGACATAAATCAGTGCAACAGGATGCTAAAATATAACATTAACCCTTCCGCACCGACATCCGTGTGCTGCACTGACCCTTTAAATAANTGTTTTCAGGATTACCACACCAAACTCAACTTTTAGCAGTTCGAGTGAGTAAAAAAATATTATTTATCATAATTATATTAAAATATATATATAGTTTTGTTCTTCGTTTCATTATGAATATTTCTGTGAAAATTTTATCTCAATATACCTATTTTTGCGAGAGTTACTAAATTTTTCATGGATAAGTACATTTTTCTGTTTAATAATTAAATACCCCGTCGGTTTGGCGGTAGGAAAAGATTTAAATACTATCCGTCCCGGAAGGGTTAACAATAATTACCACCTGAGTATTTGTATACACAAATATGGTGAAATGTGTTACCAGGAGGAGTAATCATTTATAAGGGACCTCCTCATTCTCTACCTTGGACTATTCCTTCTGGATTTGCCTCCAAATCCATGGCCTCTGTCTTCTTCAAACTTCATTTGTTTTCCTTTCCTTTTCCGATGACAGCAGTGTGTTAAATACATAAAGTCTTGTTTATATTAATGTGATTTCCATACTGCCCATGCAGAATTTCGAAATTTGAAATGGTTTGATGATGGTGTATTACATTTGGGATTACAGAGTTTCTGGATTATGTCCAGTGTCTAGCATTCCAAAAGAACACAACATTTTGAGAAGTGGTGTCTGTCCTCAAGAGAAGGGGTGGGATGTATCTACTTTGTTGGTTCTGTTAGAAAGAGGTAATCACAATCACTGGACTTTTGTTTCAGATAGCTCTTTCTGATGGACCCAACTGAATAGGCGCTTCCTTACCTTTTACCTGAAGACAGCAGCAGGTCACTTTCTGAAATGTTGTGTTCTTTCAGAATACTAGATGAATGGCAAAGTCCAGAAATCCCATAATCGCCAATTTCAGAATTGCTTTCTTTTTCAGTTTAATGCATCAGCTTCAGGAATATTATGCAACCGCCAGCTCTTACACAGATAACTGGGAAGTGAACAGTAAGTGTTGTGTCTTCAGTGTAGAATACAAGCAGTGGTACAGGGCCATCATTTTGGAGCTGAACCTACCTAACCAACAAGCTAGGGTGAGTGATTTTCATATCAGTTCAAGTGATCCTATTGAAAATCACAGTCATTCCTTTACTATACCAAGTGAAAATCACTTCAAAATATTGCAGTATATTTTGATATGAAATAATTATTACATGTTTCAAATAAAGATTGTTATAAATTTAGTATGTTGTAGAAAGTTACAGCTATTTTCCAGCCAATTAGTGGTTTTATTGAACAAATATGAAAGATAATTTGAAAAGTACCCATAAGATGCATATGAAGCCAAGACCACTATTGTGACTCTTAATTTTTGTAACAGACTGAACACAATGTAACATCATTCAATATTATACAAGTACTGCTCATGTGATGCTCTTTTACAGGATAAAAGGAAGAGTATCACCATTTACTTTTCATGGCATTGCTGACCTGTTCATCATACCCATGTCATGAAACATTACAATTCAATCTTTAGCATTCTTTCTTATGAGGGTAAGTCAATAAGTAAGTTACAAATGGATACAGAACTTAAACAAATAAGAGTACTGATTTGAAAAATGCTTTTATTTCTCAACATAATCTCCCTGCACATTGAGGCACTTGTCCCATCATTTCACAAGCCCCTGAAAACCAGCAGCATAAAATTCTTTGGGCTGCTGTCGGAACCAGGCGGTGACTTCCCTTTCTACAGCTTCATTGTCAGGAAAGTGTTCAGCCGAAAAATGTTGTTTAAGAGGGCCAAACAAGTGGAAGTCGCTTGGAGCAAGGTCAGGGCTGTATGGAGGATGCTCGAGGACTTCCCGCTTGAAATTTCGCAGCATCTCATTTGTGTTGTTGGCAGTATGGGGACGCACGTTGTTATGCAAGAGCAACACGCCTTTAGTGAGGAGTCCTGGTTGCTTCCGTTTAATGGCCTTAACGAAGTTTCCTGAGGATGTTACAATAGGAGTCAGCATTTACAGTTTGTCCTTGAGGCTGGAATTGCGGTGAGCAGTATGCCTTTGTGACCCCACTGATCATCACTTTTCTGGAGGATGGTGTCACCTTAAACTTTTTTTGGCAGGTGACTCAGGATGTTTCCACTGGATTGACACATGCTTTGTCTCGGGCTGGTTATGGTGAACCCAAGACTCATCACCTGTGACAGTTCAGGCTAGCATATCATGTTCTTCATTGTGGTAGCAATTAAGATGCTGTAATGCCAGACTCATTCTTTGCATTTTGTGTTGTGGGGTCAGCATGCGCGGCACCCATCGTGCACAGACTTTGTGAAAACCTAACCTGTCATGCATTATGAGGTAGGCCACGCCATGTGAACAACCAGTAGCAGTGGTTGTAGTGTCTGTAGTTACCCTTCTATCTTCTTGGATTAAGTCTTCAACCCGTTGCACATTCACCTCTGTGGCAATCTCCATTGGCCAGCCAACACAGTGTTCATCTTTGATATGTGTCCGCCCTTCAGAGAACTTCTGCACCAAATTATAAACAGCTTGACGTGACAGGCACTTCTCTCCATAAATGGGAACATTTCTTTATGAATATTCTTTGATTCCATACCTTTTGCCCACAAAAATTGCACAACGGAGCGGTGCTCAAGGGTTGTACACTGACTTAGAGGCACCGTCATCTTGCAACTGCTGTTTTGCTTTTGTAAATATCGATTGTCTCATGTCGAATATCATCGGTTGCCACTGGACTAATGCTGCCATCTAGTGGCGATAGCCTCAAGTGCCTCATTCAAACATGTAGTACCCCACATCAATTTGTAACTTACTTATTGACTCACCTACATACCATTAAGTAGGTCCCAGAGGCCATGTATCCTGTATGTGTGTATTTCCATGGTTTCTCTCAGTGCCTCCTGACAAATGCTGAGGTAATACCTTAACACTGGAACTGCCAGCTTAGTTAGTTAGTTATTTAGAGAGGGTGGGTTTCCCCATGCACCACGACCAGTTTGATCTATTGTGCTTCCCTCTATGATATTCTACCAGTCTGTATACCCTTCCGATAAATGGTGCGTACCATCAGTCCCGCCAAGCAAGCGAGTTTGGCCACTTGCTTAGCGGTGTCTATAATGCTTCCCCCATCTATCAGAGGCCTTAGAGACTATTGTTGGGCGGGAAACGTCCTGGAATTTGGCTCAGTGATCCCCTTTGGGGATATGAAGTCTTTTACATGCTGTAAAGTTACGACACGGGACACACAGCTTAAAGTCTCTCCTGGAGGACTTGTTCCCTGAATTTTTCCGCCCTTAAAAATTCGACGACCTCCGCCGGGTATTTGAACCCGCGTACTACGAGTCATGAGGTGGGAACGTTACCTCTAGACTATGGAGGCCGCTTAACTGCCAGCTTAATACCTACAGTGCCAGATCATCATTTCATGTTGTCAGGCCTTCCCTTCTTTTATGGGTAGATAATGTATGCTGTATGTAATGGTCAGAGACAGAAATCAGCTAATGTGGCATTGATTGGTTGTTGACAGTGGCTGTAGGTCTCAGACAGTATAATGAATCATCATCAAGAATAGTGAATTTTCTGTGCCAGTGCCAGTGAGTAATTTGGCAGAATTGGCTGATGACGGGCAACAGTGCCAAAGAGCAGATAGCCAGTGATAAGTTGGTGAAAGAGAATTTATTGAACTCTTAACAATCAAGTTGCTCTGCTGAAAAGTAAATAAAAATATGGTCTTTGAAGGGAATCTCAGTTTATTTTACTGAAGGAGTCAAGTGGTTGTAGACTTTCTGAAAAACTCAGAGGATATATTAATTTGAATATAAAGGATAATTCTGAACAAACAAAATTTATGTATATTTCCAGTTCTAGCTTCTCTCCTTTCATGCATGGACAGAATAATCAAGGACAAAGATTGACCAGGAATGATATGATAGTATCATCATAGCTAGCCAGTATCCAAAACTATTCATTGTAACACTATGGAATAGACTTTTTAGAATAATGGAGGTCATTATTGACTCTTACTAGCCAGTATATGCTACCAAAGGTCAGTAGTCATTGTTGACATTGGCCTGTCATGCTTCCTAATTTCTGTCTTAGACCTCTGTAAAAGGATTGCTAAGAACTTTAAATGTTTCTTGGCTGTAGTAGTTTCTATAAAATATCAGCAGATGCCACATGCTATCAGATTTAGCATATTGGGGAAAAGTTTCAATTTTCAGCCTGGCTAGCACAGGCATCTGCATGAGGCCAAATGTCTTACCATTGACACAGGCCACATTCTGTTCCATATTGTCATGATTCAGGGGTATGACTATAGATGGAGTATGAATTGGATACTGGATATAGGGACACCACTTGGAACTACAAGTAATTACAGTGCCACCACTGATCTCCACAATTTACAAATCACTGCTCAAAGACTAAGTCTTCTCTAGCTTACTGTGTCTTCAACAGCCATTTCCTGGCAATGGCTTCTAACAGTGGAGATTCTTCAGCTTTCCGTGTTCAGGTCCTCTTGACACAGCTACCCATACAGAGCTCCTGTCAGTTCCTTAAACTGCCAACTGTGAACTCCAGACCTCAACTGACCCTACTTTTAACATTTCAGCATGAACCACATAGAAAACGCCATTTCAGTTCTTATAGCCCAACAGTACCTTGACTGTTACATGCATGTCTGTTGCCATGGAAACCTGCTTACCAAGCAGTTGCCCAGCCATAGCTCAGGTATTGTTGATGTGTTTCCCGGCTGTTACCAAACTACGGCCATTGTCCCACCGTTTGCTTCAAGATTCCCGCCCAGCATCAGGTCTGTACACCACAATATCCTTTCCAGTTCTTCTTTATTGCCATTATCCCCGTCAGCACTAAATAACCTGTTCGGTGAAGAGAACATCATTGTATAAAAATACATTGCACATAAGAAGAGAAACCAAGCTGAATCTCTGGATTCTAGAGGAACATGGTGGACACATTCCGTCCTTGGCTTTGCTTGTTCACCACCAACATTTAAACTGTACTGTGTTCATATTGCTGTTCTCCATTTTTCAACAGGTCCTCTTGAATGACGTTGCTAAAGAAGAAATAGTTCCACTGTCAAACTTACAGCTTCTTGATCCAAAATTTTTGTCCCTTCATGATGGAGCGATTAAATGTCACTTAGCAGGAGTGCGAGCTGCAGGGGACAAAGCTGAATGGCCGAGCATGGCGTGTGAATTTCTCAGTGATAAAATTGCTGAATATCCATACATATTCATCACAAAAAAGGTACTTGAATTGTATTTTCCTTTTTGATATACTTGTGTGTTTTCATATAATTCTTGTACTTTGTCTGAAGTGCAGTTACCAGAGAAGGTCACTGTAGCATTATATTCCTGACTTTAATGGACATGTGCATGGATTGTATTTAGCTGGGCAGTGGTCAATTTGTTGTACAAGTTTAAAGGCTCCCCATAGAATGGTTGCAATGTTCTCATGTCCACCTTATTGGTTTTGTTGATTCCATGAGTCATGAAAAATGGTGTGTGTTTCTGTATTGTATGCTGCTGGGTGTTGATGCCACGCACTCTTGTAGGCAGTTATCACTGTTTGAGAGGAGCATACTGCTAACATTTTTGGGGTAACCTGAACAGCATGTTATTTAGAGTGTGTCCTGTCTGCTTTCATTGCAACCTAACAATGGAGGCAGTAGGTTCCTCTGAAAGTCAGGTTACTGCCCAAAAGACTGCATGATGTCATAACTGAAAACCACAACCACCACCACCACCAACTGGCTCTGTAGCCCTTTGTGGGCCTTGGCTCCCTGCACCAACAGCCTCCAAACATAAGCATCTCTGTCCATTGTAATGTATCTCCAGTCTTTAACCTTCATTATCCTAAGGTCTTCTCTGGCAACTGAAAACACTATAATCTAAACTTTTATTGCCATGAAAACTTCAGATTCCTTATATCAATGTCTAGTATTCATATGCAGTTTTCAAGGACAGATATATGCATCTACTCGCAAATAGGTAGGAGGTGGCTGTTAACTGCGATATCGTTAATGCTGTCAGTAAATTCATGGTCAGATTTTTCTTCCAATTAGAAAGCTTTTTAAATTCAGAGTTCTCTTTATATTTTGTTTCTCTTGTATATGTATTTTCACAGTGATTTCAGTTTCATAAAATGTTCAGAATGCCGAAGAAATTCCCTAGTCAGGAATATAGTAACTTAGGTTATGGAATGCAGACTTCATTCTCCTAGGCAAGGAAGAAACCCAGAGAGTGGTGTAATGGTACCTTTATGAACTGTATACTGTAAATAGGTAAAAGATACTGAAAAAGTCACAGCCGGTTAGAAAACTTATGACAAAACTGCAAGAAAAAAACATGTGTTATGAACAGTTTTTCATATACAGGTAATATTAAGAAAATAGAAGTACAAACAATTCTTGTTGCTGTAATAATGAAGTTATCATTACAAACCATACTCATTCTATTGAGTTTAGATTGTATTTACATTGTGAGATGCCATGGAATAACTATAATGAAATCATTCTGTAAACTCCTACATATTCTGTTGACGGTGCAAGTTAGCAAATGAACAGACCTTCTGCAAGTTTAAGTAATGTATAAAAGAATACCATGTTTATTCACTTAAATGGAATGACATATTACAGGGTGAAATTGAAAATTGGTCACTGCCTGTGGAGCTGTGGGTGAAAAAAGTGAAGCCAGGCGGACCCTTGGAACCAACTCAGGAAGAGTGGATCATGCTAAACAAGAAATTAGTGGACCAAGGTCTTGCCATACCTATCAAAGGGTAAGGTTATATGTACGTTGTGCAAAAGAATGTCAGAAGTCATTGTCTCTGACATTATGAACTCAAATCACCTACCAGTCATTTTCAACATGCTGGATCATGTTATAACTAGGAATCTTTCAGACCTGGTTGACAAATTCACAGATCTGGAGCAGTTTCAGAGCCTGGCCTCTCAACTGGAATCCAGATTAAGTCGGGGGAACAGAAAGGGACCGCACCATAGCTCAAGCGGTTAGTCGTTGGCTTCCCACTGTGGTGGCCCAGGTTCAATCCCAGGTCTGGTCAAGTAGGATTTGTGGTGGACAAAGTGGTGCTGGGGCAGGTTTTCTCCGAATACTTCGGTTCCCCTGCCAATCATCATCCCGCCAATTGCTCCACAATCACCCTCACCTGTCATCTGGGGCTGGTACAATAGGCCAGAAGTGGCCGCAGTACAAGGGGCTTAGTCCCACCCCACTAGCAATAAAAAAAAGTCAGGGGAAGAAGCTGATAAAGCAGCCAGTGACTTTACTGCGTCTATAGCTTCAGTGTACAGGCTATCAACAAGAAATGTTACACTCTTTGACCTCAATAAGGATCTACCTGATCTGGAGAGTCTGTTGAAACATAAATGGAGGTTAAGGAAACTGGCAAGTACCCCATCCAGCATGTGAAACAGCAATTAATTAGGTGGCCAAAACCATTAGACGAATGGCCCTTAGGAAGCAAAAGTAGGAAACTGTGAGGTCACAGCTCAAGCTGTTGGACCTGGTGTGAAATCACTTATGAAAAGGGATGGACCAAAGGCACCAACCACTGTTCAAGAACCTGTAGTAATAATATTATCACCCGCACCAGAAAGCCAAAGTGATTGCGAATTATTTAGAAAACCAGTTTACATCTCATGACCTTGTGTGATGAAACATTAACGACAGGTGGAGACTAGAGTCCAAGCTCTGCTCACATCTGTGGACAGCACCCTCTTGGGAAAAGTAAGACCTTGTGACATACATCAGGTAGTAAGGTAAGAAAAGGTAAAGCTATCCTGACTGGCCATCTTCAGGTGTACAGGTTATCAATAAGGAGTCTGCTGCTCACTCTTTCTTTCCTTTCTTTCTTTTTCTTTCATTGCATCTAGTAACTGGTAACTGATGGTAGCCCACATAACCAAAATAACCAGAGGAAACTACAGTAGGAGGAGAGAAAACTACATTACAGTGAGCAGCAGAATCCTTAACCATAACAACCTCTACACCTCAAAATGGCCAGTTATGCTGAAACATATAGTGTCCAATAAAGGAATACAAAGAAAGAATAGTGAACGACAGTGCACATAGAGAGTACAAAAGCTACAAAAGTCAAATATATGTTGTTGCTCTTAAGATATTATGTGTGTAAAAGGATTTTACTGTACATTTCAGAGAATCTGAGGTCCCGAGTATTCCATCATTGCAAGTACTTAAAGAACTGGATGAAAAACATCTGGAAGCAAATGAGAATGGTGTTGCATGCTGGTTGCCGTTGTCTGTCCAGGTATATGATATGGGCATATCTTACACATCTGTCAATAATATTTGCATGTCTTTTGCAGACTTTCAGGATCCTTGTAACTGAGTGAAACTGTAACACAGTGATGTGTTCACAAATCAAATTTTGCAAGTAAAGGTACAGATCATAAGTAGAATTAAAAGGCTGGTGATAGTTCAGCATAAACCCAAAGAGCAGTTTTTTACTTTTAACTCAGTAAAACTGTAGGTATGGAAGACCATCAGCAGCACAGAAAGAGATAATTTATAAATTGCTGTTCTACTTTTATCCCAGTAAAACCAACACAAGCCAATACCAGCTAAAACCCAGAGAATTCATTTTTATGAATCTTTACCAGCACATAATTTTACTTCACCATCAACAGAAAATAACTTTTCATAACTGTTTTTACTGTAGGTTATTGATTATAGTGACTAGGCCTCAGGCTGGACAACCAGGATTCAATTCCCAGCATGAGCAGTAGATGTTTGTATATTCCATAGAGTCCACACTGGTTGTAGTGCCTGCTCAACCTGCGAAACAATGAGTGCCAGGGGTTGTATCACCAGGGATATGGGGCTGTTCTTCCACTCCCCATATGCCTTCAAGGCATGGTGCTTAGTTATATAATTAACACTTTAAAGACTGTTTAGGGAAAAATCAACACCTCCTATTGTGAGAACCATTTGAAAACTACAGATACACTATGTGCACAGAATGCAAAGTTTTAGCAGGTTAAAGCTGGTGGTGTATTTAGTAACGTGTCTGATATATATCCATATATGGCTGGAAAGAGTTAAGTATAGGGATAGCTATACTTTTTGATTACCCTCATAGTCAGAATATTTTGCACATCAGAGGCATCAGTAATTTGTATTTATTTTGTAGTCGCCCAAAATTGTTGTATTTATTCCATTGGCTGAAATGTGAGGGCTTAATGCAGTTTTATTGACTTCAAGGGAATGCAGTTCATGCTTGTAGCTTCTGTTTAAGATTCATGGTTTTATACTCTTCGTTATTAAGCAGAGACAGGCCTTACATTCAGTAATGCTTATCTTCTTTTAACAGTTTCCTTGATACCTTTTGGTTCCTTCTCTCATAGCTCCTGTTTTAATTTCATGCAAGCCAACAAATTCTTCCATTATTTATTAGTTTATTTATCAGTGCACAGGATGATATTGAAGAAAGCATGCTGATATTAATTAGAGGAGGTCAGTGGTACTCCACTTGAAGAGTTATCATAACTCAAAACGAAGACAGCACACACACACACATACCCAGCAGGCCCAGCAGTATAACACACACAGTCACAGGAGCAAGACACAACACAAAGCACAATACACACACGAAAGTAGGAAGAATACTCCGATAGAAGAAGATAGGTGTGACTCGCGTATTGAGATACGACATAAGGATGGCAAATCCTGAACAGTTTTAATATTTTTAATATTTAAAATTTATCAATATATAT